TTTGTGAAGCATAACATATGATCTACACGGCAGATAAGTAATATATCATATGCATGTTCGAATCTAATCTTTCACTTTATAATATATTTAGACTTAGGCCCGTCCAGACTAGTCCAACACATCTCCGTATGGCTTGCCATGTAAACCGTCCCAGACGACATTCTTTTTCAACTTTAAATCGTTTTCTGACAGGAGTCATGTCGACCTAACATGTCTAGACAGAGTCTCAAGAAGTTCACGTCCAAGACAGGTCTATATTTAGAAAAAGACTAGACAATAGATATGGAATGACTCGTGTCCATGACCAATAACGGATGGATTTAATGACACCGATAATTTCTGATTAGTCCTGAACGAGTACTTTTTGAGACTCTGACTGGACAGGTTGACCCGACATGACTAAAAAAAATACTCGACATTTAGCCTGTCCCCAACGTACTTGGGGAATACAATCTCATTGACGATTATTATTTAATATTGCTAACAATTTGCTAGTAGTCCACTTCATGGAAGTATTTTCTCCTATCAACCAAGATCATCTAAATTTTCATTCTTTGCAAATGTTTCATTTCACATCGATGACAATAGAACCGATTTGTACGATTTTGAACCGAGATCTGCAGCTATGGTGAATAAAACTTCGCCGACCATATATAGGCCTGTACCATGTGGAACTTCATTTCAACGTTTATTTTTACTTTCATTTGATATGGAGACAGAAAACTTATGAACAGAGTCGATGGATCTTGCACAATGGAGGATTTGCTTATCTCTTTTATGATCCTCTTTGTCAACGACTATTCGGACTGCGTGACGTGAGCACATTTATGCTAATAATTGAAGAATATAATATAACAACATTAAATGTTGTTCAAAAGTATACTCAACAAGATGGCCAGCCATATGCTTTTCCATATGGTAGATGTTCAGTATTTGATTACGAAGAAAACTGGATCGTTGAAGTTCGAACACGATTTGAAAGTCCTGGTATCAATGCATATTTTATCAAAATGGATTTGAATATTGTTGGTAAAAAGGACGATATTGTTACTGAATTTCATCTCCTGCTTCACGTTCATAATCTTTGTTCGATGACTGATGATGTAAAAAAGGAACTTGTATTAGCTACATGGCAACATGGATCGATTGATCTCGATCTCGTCATGCTCTATATGGATCCTTATACGAGCAAATTCAGAAATGAAATACTGCTCTTAAAAACATCAAAAGAATGGTTAGTTGAGCCTACTCAGGTCGTTTTTGATAAACAAACTCATCAAATATTAGCGTGTGGGTATGGGTGTTGTTCTTGCTAGTACTGAAGCTCACACCCACACCCTCCTTCACAGCCAGATGATTGAATTTTCTTTAACAATTAAAATTATTCTGGAATATTTCTAAGATATTCGTATTCTACCGTGAATCATAATTTTACGATTTAGACCACTTCAGTCAATTTCCTATTCCATGTTGATAAGGGTAAAGATGTAGATGCTTTCCTTTTCACGCTGATTCCCACACCCACAACATAAGCCTTTCGCACTATGGTCAATCATTTCTGAAAATTTTAGCTCAAACAGACCATTTTAAGTGGGAAATCTAAAGTGAAGGAGGGCCTTAATAAAATGTTCAATTACCATTCGCAAGTTTTATTTTACAGAAGAACTGAGTTCTTCTATCAAAATCTGCTTAAAAAATCGATATTTCAAGAAAATTGTCACTTGCACTTATACATGTACTAACTTGAATTTTTCTTATCTAAACGTGGCGTTAGTGCTAGGATAAATTTGTACTCGAAAGCTTTTTCTCCATTAAAGAACATTCAATAGTCAATATATTTGTTACGGTCAAAATTGGAATCTGGTCAAATTCTAAATTTGTTCGGACAAAATTAGAACTTTATTTTGATGAATTATGCAACTACGCAAAAATCAATACCTAAAACACGAATAAGGTCAAGAATGGTGATGAGAGTCAGGAAGAAGGTTTTAAGTAAGATCGTCGCGGGTACCCTTGTGATGGTGAAAAATATCTTAGTAAGGATGAATTTTTGAGTAAGACTAATATTTTACGCGATTATTCACTCTAGTTTCACTTGCAACCTCGGGATATAGACTCAGACCTCTTCACTCTTACTCAGACCTGTCTCTCGTCTTCACCATCATTTTTGATTTCACTCGTATTCGTAGTGTTGCTTTTTTTCTCAGTTTTACAGTTCATGAAAATAAAATTCTGATTTTGTCTGGTCAAAATTAGAACTCCAATTCTGTCTGGACAAATTTAGAATTTGACCAAATTCCAATTTTGACCGTAACATATTTGTAAATATTTTTGAGGAAGTTTTAAAAATCCGAATGAATCAAATTTATATTTGCTTTTTTCTGTTATCGACTATGTCAACTATTTCAATAGAGATCTTTACATATGTGAATAGAGGTGAATTCTATGACTTCTCAATAATGATGATAAAACTTCTTTACTCAACTATTCAACATACATTGATTACCCAATAAAAATTTACTTCATGAAAATAACACTTGCCAATATTCACTTCTTTTCAATAATATATCTTCGTTTATATAATTATTCTTTGAAAAAATAAAGAGAATATGTTTGAAAATACAAATTTCTATATTTGATTGTCTTGAATAGAATCGAATTGCTGATCGCAATTGATTAAAATATTTTACTGGTTTCTTCTAATTCGTGAATTGTAATATTTAGAGCAAAAAAGTTTGGTTTTTTTTCTTTAAATTTAATAGAAAAATAAATCGACATACTTCATTTAAATGCGATGCAATTTTTATTCCATTTTCTTTTATTGAAACTTGATCTTCTTGATCTTTTTTTTATCAACTGTTGCTTCTTCAAAGTTTTGTGAAAAATCTTTCAAAACGAGCTTCTAATACTTATTCATATATATCATTTTTTTTTGCACAAACTAAAACGAAAAACCTGACTTGACTTTTATTATCTGATAACATTCAATTTTGATATTGTTCAATTTCTATATCTTTTTATGTGATGGTTTACTCTTTGCAGTAATTTTATTTAATAGCTATACAATAGATTTACATTAGAATAACAAACACTAAATCAATAGAATGCTTTTAAAAATTGCTTGAAAATCATTCAATTATCAAGAAGATCGATTTATCACCAAGTTGTTGATATTATTAGAATATTTATTATAGAAAATATGTAAGACATTTCTTATCCGATTTTAATTGAAGATTGATTAAAGAGAAGTTGTTCTGGACAAGAAATACTTATGTTGTTCGAAATCATTCAACAAATTGTCTCCAGAAACGATAAAGAATTATTTCTTAAACGAATAAGTACTTGAAATCGTTACTCAAATAACTGTTGTACGGTCATTTCCTGTTGGAAAGATCGAGATTTCTATTCGAACTAAAAATACGTAATTGAAAAAGTGGCATTTCTTTGCATTTCATTTTCTTAATCTTTGGATATTTTATTCAATAGAACATTTATATTTCTTTTATATATGATGAATATTTTGATCATTTAATTTAAAATCAACATTCGTTCGATATCAGATCCAATCCAAAACTAATCGGATAACAATCAATATGTATTACTTATTGATCGATGATCAGCAGAATGGATTATTATTGTATGACGAAACTATAATGGCAATCACTTTTATAAAACATGATCTCAAAGAAGTGTTGAAGTATATAAGGTAGAAATTTGCATCCAGCCTTTGCCACACAGACCGTGACAGAGAGTTCCAGGAAGTTATCAAACACCATTTATCATTAACATTTCATTAGAATTTATGAACTACTTCCTTATTGCAGTTCTAGAGAATTAAATAAATGATGATGAAGAAATGTATCCCAGAATAGATCGAATAAAACAATTTTCATGTGATTAGCAACAACACGTACATTGTTTTACACAAATTAATTCTACAGGAATTGGGCTAACAGCTTTTTACTTATTATTTTACTTGTCGTAGAAATAATAAAAAGCAATCAACAGAAAAATATTGCCTGAATTTTCATCATATTATTGAAGCCAAAAGTGGTTCATATTAGTATCAAATGAATTTTTTTTAGTAATTTTTTCCTGATTTGAATATAACAACAACAAACTGTTGTCTATTTGTCTAAGAAAAATCACGTGGAAATTTAGCATTTTTCTTCGAAAAATTCAAAAATTTGACATTTCGTAGTCATATGATAGTTTCAAATATAATTTATACAAATAAATAAAACGCCTTTTTTGATGGAGAAAAAATGTAATTTCTTTTTGCGTGAAGAAAACAATGAAATAAAATGCATACTTTCTTATCAATACTGGACGATCTTCTATTTAATAAATATTTAATGAAATGTACTGTGTTCGCCACAATCAGTGCTATTCATCTAATTTCTTGATGTTGTTGTGCCCATATTGTGACGAATGCAAATATATATTGTTTCGTCAACATTTTGATGAAGTCTATATTGAAAACAGAACGAAATCAAATTAACGTCATGCTTCATTTCTTTACAAATATAAAGGTAGTATTTCCTGTAAATTGACTCTATGATACAATCAAACGTGTACCGTAGAATAAACAAACAAATCATAGAAACATGTACTTGTCAACTCGTGATGCGCAACGCGAGAGGCGATCATCGCATATTATCGCGGCAGCTCTCGTAGCTGAACAATTAAGTCTTGCTGGCCATGACAATGTCAATTTTCAAACAGATTCAATATCCGATAGCCATTTATCTAGCATATTGTCACGAGTCCCATCACAGGCACAATGTCAACTACAACAATTGTCAACAGTCATTGATGTTGTAGCAGACGAAATAACGACTAATGATCTAAAACCATCAACATCTTCGCAGGAACGACGACATCATTGGAAGATGACGTATTATTTTTATATTCATGTAGGTTTTTTTATTATCAGTGGGTTGTTGTGTGGTTTGTTTGTTTGGCTTATTGAAAATTATTCATCTTCACGGAATATTCAAATGAAAGTGGCCTATATTGATGCATGGTTTGTTAGTTGTTCATGTGTATATAGTTGTGGCTTGACAACATTAGATTTTGCAAAGCTTTCACATGCTTCTCAAATTATTCTGATGGTTTTTACATTTATATCAGGTGTTACAATTAGTACATTACCAGCATTAGTCGTTAAAGCTCATACACACAGAAGAGTCCAAGGAATAACTGTCGATAATGATCATGGAAATTTAGAAGACGAAGATAACGATGAATTACCAACAATTAATATTCGATGTGATCAAACTTTACCACAACCTATTCTAAATCAACTCGCAACATTGCCGACTACAGCAAAACTTCGTTATCGTGCTTATATAACATGTATTGTTCTGATTCTTAGTACTTGTTTTACTATTTATACAATAGGATTCTTGGCTATTGGTAGTTGGTTGTCAGTATATTATACATCTGAACAATTATTACAAGGAAATTCTAGTGTTAATCCATGGTATATTTCATTTATTGTTACTGTAACAGGTTTTAATCAAAATGGATTATCACCATTTTCGGATGGTCTTGCACGTTTTGTTCATGATGTTTATATCAATGTGTTTGTTATGATGGTATATAATTGTATTTTATTTTGTTTTTATTAAATTGATTTAAAAAAAATTCTTTTATAGGTAGTAATGAGTGGAACATCATTTTTTCCTGTTATATTACGAAATGTAGTTATATTGGCACGGTGTCTATCTCCATGGCGGCATAAAGTTATTTTTGATTATATTCTTCTGAATAATCATTGTTTATCTACTTTACTTTTTCCTTCTCTACAAACTCGTATTTATCTTTTTGTAACAATTTTATTATACATATTAGGTGTTAGTATTTCACTTATACTCGATTTGCATAGTGTTCACTTTGCTGTATATCCAAGCGGTATACGTGTTCTCATATTTATTTTTCATACCGTAAATACACGTTTTTCTGGTTTTCAAACAGTTGATATAAATTTATTTGCTTCAGCTACATTATTAGTTTATTTGCTGTTAATGGCAACTAAACCACAAATGTTATGTGCTCTTGACGAAACTCCACTTGAATTATCTTGGTTGGCATTGCAAGCACAAGGGAAAGTGAAAGCTGAAACAAAGCCTATGGTGAACATCAATGATTCCCCAGGTTTAGCTGCAAGTAGTGATCGAAAAGGATCGACTGTATCAGTATCGACAGCTGGTGTTCTACCAATACGGTACGTGCAACGTTTTCTACGTCGACAAAGTTTAGCTACTAAAAATCTTGCTCGACAACATTTTACTAATACACAATTAATAGATACTACAAATCGTAGACCTCAACGTTTGAAATATTTACGTAGTCGTTTATTTCTTATTTATTTCATCCGAGCTCTTATAAAACATACAGTTAGTTTTATTATTTTAACTCGTACTTGGCTATTTTTTTTTATATTTCTAATATGTGCTATTGAATATCGTAAATTGGCACCTGTTGATCCACATATAACTATTTTTAAAATTGTCTTTGAGATAATATCAGCATTTGGAACTGTTGGATTAACACTTGGATATCCAGATGTATCATCAAGTTTTGCTACTGTTCTTTCACCAGCAAGTAAAACTATAATTGCTACAACAATGTTAATGGGTCGACATCGTGGTTTACTTGCATCAATGAAAGATCAAGAAGCTATAGAACATAGTGCTATCGATTTACTTAATCGACGACGTGAAGAAATTATTTTGAAATATCAACAAACAACATTAGATACGAATACTACTGATCAAAAGATATCTGACGAATTAATTACACAATTTTAAATATTCAACATGATTCAAATATTATTTTTTTTGCTAAAAAGTTTACATATATTTTTTTCTAGTATTTCTATATAAAAGACCTTAGACTTTACAAATTGTAGTTCTAAATAGCTTAAATTTGATATTTATTGTTCAATTTAAAAAATATTAATTCATAGAAGTCAAAAATTATTCTTTATTAAATAAAGAAAGATTTATTTCCTCCAATATATTGTACATGACTTCAGTCATATTGGTCGGCTTTATTTACAAAATAAGATGTGGGTATGTGGGTGCGGATATGAGGATGTGGGTGTGGGAATGTGGGAGGGAGGGTGGGTGGATGTGAGTGTGTGAGGATGTAGCTTTTCTTTGTACTAACATCTACACTCACATCCATCCCCACGCTCATCGCACACCCAAACCCACCCCAAAATCGTTATAGTGACGTGCGCTAATAATAATTACCACGAACATTTTAAATATTTATATAACATTACTTTTTCGTTTATATCCTTCTAATGGCGAAAATGACAATGTTTGTAACTAATCTTTTTCTTAAATAAGAGAATTTATCATTTTTCTAATGAAAAATAAAAAATCTTCTGCACAAAATTTTTTTTTTCATGAACGTGAATCGGTTTTCTGATCACAGATCTTAATCGATGAGGCTAAAATATGGAAATTGTTATATTTGAACTAAAGATCAAATGATTGAAACGAGATTCATGAAATTATGTAGTAGTCTGTTCTTGAATGAGGTCGTAAGTGTGGATATGGGTATGCTGTTATACGCTGCTGTACATCCACACCCACAGGACGGGATAAAGAGGACTTTTCGGGATTCAGAAGTGTTCAGTAAGACTACAATATTTACTAAGTTTGCTCGATCACTTTGATTTCATCAAGTTCTATTCATTGTTTAGTAAAATTTTAACAATTAATTTCGATTTAAATCACTTACTTCCGAATCATATAAACAGTCGGATGTTTCTTTTTGTCTTTCACAAATATCATGGAGGTTGAGTAATTACGTGAAACTGATAAAGTACTTCTTTTAATGATACTTTTCTTTTGCGTTCGACGTTCTCTCGAATAATAATTGCTCAATATCCATTCGATTTCAAGTTAACATGCTGTTCTATTCAAGCAAGGTACGGAGGTCCGAAAGTGATGGTTTATCGAATACAAGATGAATTCAAACTCCTAACAATTGTAACCTAATATCACCATCACTCCTCATGACCTTCTTTTTTTCACTCGTTCTAGCGTTATCTATTCACTGATGAAATGAATGCACTTAGTTTTCAGTAGTTATTTCTAAAAGGACTGTGTAAAATTCTCTTTTGTCAATTGAACCAATTGATAAGGTCTATATACATATTCAGAATCAGCATAATTTAGGCAATCATTTCTGGTAAATATTTTGCTGACCATTTTCAAAAAAAACAATCGATCATCCTCTGCGTTAACTATATATGACCAAAGTGTAATCTTATACGATCAAAACCTGTATCTCAGATTTTTCAGTGTGTTTAAGTCATCTGCATCGGCTATATTAATTGTTTAGGCTTATTTTTCGAGTTAGGTTACCGGGTGTGGGTGTGGGGTATGGGTGGGGTGGGCGTCGGTGGGGTGGGCGTGGGTGTGGGGTGTGGGTAAAGAGATGATCAAAACACACGCCCACACCCTACACCTCACATTCCACCCACACCCTAGTTCATTCATCATAATATTACTATGTTGTTTTTGACTTCAAGTCAACATGTTAAGATATTTGTTATAAACTTGGTTCATTGTCTTTTGTATACGTCTAAATTAATTTGATTTTCTATGGAATATATTCTGCATGATATTTAAAGATTCATTAAATTTTTCTTTCAGGTTCAACATGTAAATGAAGAACAAACGAAAACTAAACGAAAATCATGTAAAACGATTATTGATGAATGTCCATTAACATTTGATGAAGCATATGGTCATATTCAAGCAAATCATTCTATTGAATTTTGTAAATATCAAAAAAGATTGTCGATTCCTGCTATCTGATCATTTAATCAGAAAGCATAAATTAAAAGAAGTTTGTGCTCAACGTTTGATACAACCTGTTGCTGATAATCACAATCCTAGGACAACAAAATGATGTGATGAAAATGAAAGAATAATTGATTATCTTTGGAAAGTCCCATGTTCTTTTATTAATGAACGACTTGACTTACCAGAATATCGTCAAAAATATTTAAAAAATATACCATGTTCACATAATTTTGTTCGACTTGAAAATTTAAAACAGCATTTACAATGTCATCATTACATTTATAATGGGTATGCACGAAAATTAGTTGATGTTTTCAAAGTGATTCGATCAAAATATAATACTACTTCGACTTCACTCATTCCATCGACATGATCAAAAGAACAGAAAGTCTTAAAATTGTTTTCATTGATGTTTGTCTCATTTTTTTGTTCATGTAAAAAAAAAAAGAATTCAATAATTTGAAACATATTTAAGTAATTCGTTGCTATCAATGTTTGCTTAGGTGTTCTCAGTTCAAGATAATAAGTCGATAAGTACACACTAACGAGAAAACATGCCATTGTTGGAGAGTGTGGGTGTGAATATGAATCTTCTTCAGATACACCCGCACCCTTTCAATTGTTGTTTTTCATATAGACTAGATTATTTTGGCACATGTCAACCGTCAACTTGTAGCTAGCCAATGAGACTTCAAATGCTGCATATATGAATTAATTTGGTTGAGATTCTAACAAAATCTTGTCATTGTACGAATAATTTCACTTTTCCCGAAAATGGCATGTCATTTTTCTGAATAGCATAACTTGCCAAGAATAGGATATTTTTCGATTCAAATTTTCACTAGGGTTGTGGATGTTGCTGCGGACCTTCTCGTCATTCATATTTGTAAGCTTACCCCATACCCACATCCACTCTTCGAGAGAGAATTCAATAAAGAAAAGAAAGAGCTTTTGTTTGATAGAAAAATTGCATTGCATGAACGTATTTTGGATAGAAAATGTCGAGTTTCGAATGAGCCGCGCACAATCTGAATATATTAAAGGGAGCCGATCTCATTGTTTAATGAGCATCTTCCTCTTAATTCGTTTCCTAATAAATAATAAACTATGATTTTACTGTAGCAAAAAGTTAAATATGAATGCATAAACATATAAAAAAAAGAATGAAGTCTATCATAATTAAATTAATAAGAATAGAAATATCAATTAAAATCCTTTCTTAAGATAAGCTACAATGTTTAAGTTATAATATTATAAGTATAGGACTTTTTGAAAATCTTACAGACGCATTTCTAGTTATTTTGACTTTATCTACTTTGATCAAAAGTTGTGAAGTATGTCGAATTGGTTCACTTTGCCATTGAAACAAAACGAACAATAAATGGAATCGGGTTCAATTCGAGTGGTAACATATAAACAGACAAAAATATGAAAGACAGATCAAATGAAAAAAAAACAGATAAATTTGTGTTACTCACCCAAAAGCATGAAAAATGTGTCAGTAAAATTCTTCAAAACTAACGTAACTCAAGACAGATAGCATGAGTATCATTTAGACCTGTGAAAGATCCCACGTATATATATGAAAGTGTTCTGTCTTGAGAATCCGATATAGGGACCTGTTTCTTTTTTGACCAATGGAGCAATAACTGCATAGAACTGATACATTATCATTATCTGCAAATACAGTTCTCGAATAAGACCCGACGGATAGAACTCTGTGTTGTTACACATCTAGTATTATTTATTTTACCGTAGTTTTTCATTGCTCTTTATAGAATGAATGCAGTTTTGTCCATTTTTCATTATTCAGATAATTTATTGAACGATAGTATAAATAACTTTGACTTCTTTTTGATGTAGTTCATGATCAGAATCTGACAACATCTAACAGTTTGAACGTCTACAGCAGACTTGAATAGAGTCACCAATGATTCTCAATCATATGGAACAATTGATAGCCGTTCTCAACTATATAGGCTGAGAAAGATAATTAGATATAATATTTTGCAAAAATAATTCATCACTTTTTTTTTCTCGTGTTTTTCAACAACAAGATTAAGTTCAATAGCCATTGATATCTTTTGATAACAGTATATTTAGTTGTCAATTAGAAATTAATGATACAGATTTGAAACGTCGTATCATTGAATTGACTTATGATTTCAACTTTGATGTTGACAAAAACGACTGCTTCATACCTGTGAGGAACACGACAAGCTATCAACCTGCTAGAAAATCCGAACCGGTCATCATTGGTTAAACGATGACAATAGAAGCTTTGTGATAGTGATATCAAAAACGATTTTTTTCTTAGAGGAAGAGAGAAAAAGTTCAATAAAAAAGATGAAGCAAAAATAATGCGTGAGATAAAAACATGGAAATCAGTGAAACAATCAAATACAATGCATCATTTGATAAAAAGAAAAGAATAGTTATTTCATGTTGATTTAAAACTGTATGATGTATAAAGAATGATGACCAGAAATCGGATATGTAAACGAAAGATAAAGATGATATCAATAAAAAAGATTCAAGCAGAATTTTCATTATCAGTTCACAAATCTCAAATTTCTATCTCAAAAATATTGATAATAGTATTATACCTCCATTATTGATTCAACATCGACATGCCAATAAGGGAAGAAGACAAAAAGCAATTAAAGGAATGAATTCTTACATTTATACTGAAATATATTGAATGTCACCATCACGAACAAGTATTGAAAAAAATTACAAAATTCAATTTGTAGACATGGGTTTCTCTTTCACATGCAGTTTCAGAACTTTCATCGCGTGATAACAATTTGTTTTTAGACAAATGATAAATATTTATTATTCAAGGACTCATGATACAGACAAGGAAGGAAATGAAATAATTAGTATTTAAAGCCCATAATTTGGTATTGATAAAACATATATGTACCTATATTTTAATTGATGTGGATTGACACAGAAGCATTGGCAATATTTATGAAATAGCGACTTAGAATGAGTATCATATGCTCATTAGATTAAGTATAAAAACATGTTGTAAACTTGCTTCGTTTAAAATAAAAATCATTTTGAAAAATGATGAATTATTTTTGCAAAATATTGAATGTTTCTCTCATAATTGTATAGGTCGTCGTGAAATGTTCTGTTCAGCAATAAAAAAAATGTTTCAAGGACTTTTCATTTAATAATAAAAATAGGTCAATCGTGTTTTTTTATTGTAATATAACAGAGATTTCTCTGAAAGATTTTTCAACCTATTGTTTTGATTTGCTTTCATTTGATGTCGTCATTTTGACAACGTTGTATTTGTCATACAAACAAATACTCTGTCAAACATTATGGGTCGTTGATGAATACACTGATGAAATCATGTGATACGATCAAGAATAAATAAGAACGATATGTTTTTTTTTTATTTTGAAAATATAAATTATGCATGAGACAAAATATCAGACGAAACGATTTTATCTATAGTTGTTTATCTCTAGACACATACTAATGATTATTGTTAAGAAAAAAGTGACATGCAATAATTGATGTTTATGAATCACCTCTTCTTTAATTTATTTATAAAACAACGAAAGCATACGATTTATTTTGTCGCGCGTTTGATCATGACTATTCTGTTCCTTTTTATTTTATTCTCGATCAACTCATACACAATGACTAAAAAGGTGAAAATAGCGAATATGGATGAAGATCATCAACAACTATATGAAAGTTTTCCTTAAATATCTAGAAACCACAAAATCCTTGCGGAAACTCAATCCTAATTTATCAGCTCCGGCATATCAAGGTCTCAATGCAACACCACTAGGTCTATGTTCATTTGCTTTAACAACATTTGTTGCTTCAATGTATCTGTGTGGTATATCGGTACCGGTTGATGCACCTATCGGTGTTGTCATGAGTCTAGCTCTATTCTATGGTGACGCCACTCAATTTTTGGCTGGTTTTCTCTCATTTCGTGAAGGAAACACCTTTGTTGCTTTGGCATTTTCTTCCTATAGAGGATTTTGGCTTAGTTTCGGATCAATCCATATAGCTGCTTTTAATTTTCTCGTCGATTATAAAGACGTATCTGTTTTGAATAACGCATTGGGTATCTTTTTTCTTTCATGAGCAATATTTACAGGATTAATGACCTTATCTTGTCTACGTACTAATCTTATTACTATTGGTCTATTCTTTTCTCTTTTTTTATGTTTTGTTTTACTATCAAGCAGTAAATTTTTTACAAAAATCATCAAAATTTACAACGAGCATCCGGAGCATTTGGTCTTGTTACGGCAACATTTGCTTAGTATTCAGCTTTTGCACATTTGCTCAACAAGAGAGATTAGTTTTTCAAATGGTCTCTTTCTGAAACATCACATAAACAACATAAGGAACCGAACAATATGGAAGTAACTGTATAAATAAATCAACAACGATTATTAAGAGATATGAGCATGAGCAAAGTTTATAAGAATATTTATTGTAACTGTAACAACGTTGTAATTCAAAATAAATTTTATGAAATATAAAAATTTTTATTAATAATATACGTTACTATTGAATACAAGTCTCTGCTGACTGACATTCCGATTCAAATAAAAACTGAAATAAAACAAAATAAAGTTTGTTTTTTTTTGTGTCAAAAATATCGGCATGTATTGATTTTACAATCAGTTACAGTGAAAAACAAACAATAAATTTTCAAGCTTTGTTTTGGAGTAGACAAACAATGCCGAGCCATGTACTCATGATTTTTGAAGCATCATTACTCAGTTGAGTAATTATAAGAGTTACCAAGAGAAATTTTCTTACTAAAAATAATCTAGACCGATATATCATTTGTTTCTATGTTATGTATTATTTTCAGATTTGTCTTTCGCTCACATTTTGTTAAGATTTTGTTTCTGTCAATAAGTCGCAAGTACTATCAACAATGTTGAATCGAAAAAGAGATCAAATCATTTAGTGTCTATCATCTTTTTACATCAACGTTTATACTGAACATCATTGTTACTATGTACATTCAGTCGATTTCTCGATTACTGACAATCAAAATAATTGAAATAAGAAGTGAGCATGATGCCGTGTCAAATAAGAAACGATTTTTTTTCTTATTGTCGATTGATAGAGAGAATAGTCAAATCATCGCATGAGGGCATTTATATTTTGAGTCAATCCGTGCAATTTAGATTTTCATTCATTAAGTATGATCAAAAGAAGTCTTTTTCAAAATCACTAACAGACACAAATTGAAACTTGAAACACATTCAAAAAGAATTACTAGGTAATTCATATTAAATTAACTTATAAAGAAAAAGATAAATTCAGTGTATTTTTCTAGTTATATTGCTAAGTCACTCATCACTTTGTATCAAACAATTCAAATGGTGAAAGTTTCTGATCAATTCATGAAGAAATGTTTAGAAATAGATTTGTCAAATCATGAAGAATGGTATATGTGACAACGAGGGTGTGGATATAGGTGCGGTAGAATAGTTGCTCACCCACACGTTCACAGTAGCAATCGTAAAGATATATGTCAACAAAAATTTCAGCACAATACGTTGATTCGTTCTTAAGATGTGGTCCTCTTTGGATTCCCGTTAGTCTAAATGTTTATTGACAGTACTTTTTGTAAAGCATTTATAATATAAAAAAACCTGCAACTCCATATATTTCAATACGACTTACTTCAAAATTCATAAAACAGTTCTCTGCATAGCATCCTATGGATTCAACAAAGCTTTATGTGATCTCAATTGAACAGGTTCTCTATACTGACGGTTGCGTTTTACGTAAAAACGGTCTATAATACTTAAAATTGAAAAAGTAGATTCGTGTTATTTTTCTTATGCTAGCATATAAAATCGTAAAATTTTAGGTGTGTACCTAACTCTACTAGGGCAGCTCACTGGTAAAATCTATAGATGTTCGTGGGTTGGAGAAAACAATGTGCATCGGAGAATCATTCTAATGTTCAACCATTTTGGATGTTCGTAGAATCAGCTCGCTGAGCTCTATATGCTGATGGTATTACCTCCCAAATTGAGGGTGATCGTGGCTCTTCGCGTGTTTTACAAATATCCGATATGAGCTATAGAATTCTATTTAAGTTCTTTTGAAGTCTTAGCAGGATTGTGTCTGTTGAAGGGAGTTGCGTCTGATACAGTTAATCTTTCAATGCTGATATCACGGTTTTCAAACCAAACGGCATTGTTTTCAATTCTTGATAAACTTCGCTTTTAGCTGCATCGTTTTTGTCTAGCAATGCATATAGATGAAAAAGTTATATTGTGATCTTGATTGTCTTCTATGCAGCATGTAATATAGTTGAGTTTACAAAATTCTGAATTCTACTTGACAGGCATTCTATAGGCTCCTCCGATTTGGAGATGAGTGCATGACGATCTTTTCACACAACGAAATCCATTTATTTATTCCTTTCATGAAACTTTTTGCCTTAAACGTAAAAATTAAATATACAAGTAGATTATACAAAAACACTTGTTTGAATTGATGTTCATGAATGTACTCGAGGTGAAACTCGCATCCACATACCATACTTCGGTCTAAAAGATAGAAATTCATTACAAAAATTACTGAAAAAAATGATTGATGTAACCTCATAGTAACAATAATTTCTGGTACAAGCTTTTGGCCCGGTTCAAGCTCAAAACGAAATCGTCGAATTATCAATGCTAACATTATTTTAGCTTCCAACATGGCAAAATTTTGTCCAATACATGAACGAGGTCCTGCAGAAAATGGTAGGAGCAATATATCTGATTGATTGCTATCGAATCTGGATGGATCAAATTTGAATGGTTCGTGCCAGTATTTTTCCGAACTGCGCTAAGTAGATCTAATCAAAAGAGTATATGCAATAGAAATCTTACTGATGCAGCAAGTAGAAATTGAGAAAAATGCCAGTTCCTTTCTTGATATGAATTTCTTTTCCATCACTGGCCACTAGTGTATTATCTTTAACTGCAGTACGAACTATGGCAGGTACTGGTTGATGAAGCCGTAATGTTTCTTTCAATACAGCTTCAGTATAAGTCAAAAGTGAGAGAGTCGATGGTGTTATCTCTTCAGTGTTGTCCAATACCGAGTCTACTTCAGCTTCTAATCGGCGGCATATATCTGGATTGTTGGCCAGATTATACAGAGTCCAAGTCATCAATGTCGATGTTGTCTCATGTCCAGCAGTAACTAAATAATAAAGCGAGGGCTGATATTTATTTATTTTTTCTAGCAAACCAATGTGAATATTTTCAACAATAACTCGGATGAAAATCGATGTGAATGAGGAGATTTAAAGAGGCATATACAGATTTGCGAAAAAGAATGTTACGGATATTTCCAATATTTCCTCATTTTTTTGGAAATCTACTCATTGTCAGATTTCAAATGGTTAATAAATGTAAATCGATTTAAATCTGATTTGTGGTCAAAATATGTTACACGGCAACAACAGCATTTCTGATTCTCATTTCACACAGCCAAAATTTTAGACTCACCAAACGTTAGTGCCTCTTCGTAGACTTCTTCATCGGTCAACTTGCTAGTTTTATCTTTAGCGCACGCTGCTAGGAGTAGATCAAGCAAATCAGGACCTGTTGATTGATATCGAATAGATCATTAGGTGAAAAGATGAAGTACAATTTATTTTCAAACCTTTACAAGTTGACTTAGTCAGCCCTTTCTTACGATTGTCGACAATTTGTCGAATAAGATTTTTTCCTTCATAAATACATCTATCAATACGTCGTTTGCCTGCCAATGGAAGACGGTTGATAATTGGAATGATAGCAATCATGTTAAACAAACGCTTTTCCATTAACTCAAGGGATTCACTTACAATACGATGAACCGTTTCGTGCATTTTTTCATCAGATAGTATCTCCGTACCGAATACACAACTTGTAACAATATCTAATGTTAATCGTGCCATCTCTTCATGAATATTGAGTCTCATCGACTCATTTTCATGATGAACAGCAGTCGACCATATTTTCATGTGATTCAATGTAATTTCAACCATCAGTGATATCATCGAATTCATATTTTGATGCTGAAATACAGGTGCTATCAATCGACGATGTTGAGCATGAACATCATCTTCAGCCATCAAAAGATTGTCGGTTCCTAATAATACGCCCAGAACTAGTCGCATGATATATGCTTTATGATAACAGCGAGCATTAGTTTTAAGCACACCATTAATCAATTCTGGATCAAATGTATCTAAACGAGCCACGGGACCGAACGAAGTGTGATAATAATCACCGTATTGTGCCGCCAAATTTGCACCATGTCCAAGTGGGTTGTCAGCAAGAATACTTTTACGGATATGCAATATTTCGCCTACTATTGGAATATGACGTCCCGGAATACCTTGAGCCCATAGATCACGATGAATGAGCCATGGATCAATAATCCAAAATTTAAAGGGTCGATAAAGTATCCATATTATAAAAGCAACTAATAAAAGAACAAACCACATGGTTTCTTAAAGAGAATATCGTGTTTTTTTTAACTGTAAGAAGAAAAGAATAAAAAAGGCATATAATGTTCCTTGATATAGTTGAAGAAAAAAAAAGAAAATGACTTACGAGTGTGAGCAAACATGCGCCCGAGAATAGCCATACTTCATCTTTTTCATTCTATACTCAGTCGGGAGTAAGTGTCTCGAACACGCACCTGCGCGAGTAAACAGATGACTCATTCTATCATCTATCTACATTAATACATCTGCCATTTTTGGCAAAGTTCGTCATAATAAAGTCTGATTAACTTCGGGTAATGAGAGAATATACTATTATTAGTCATCGGCGGTTGGTCGAGTGTGGGTGTGGGTGTGGATGTGGGTGTAGATGTGGGTGGATATGGATGGGTGGGTGTGGGTGGAGGGTGTGGGCGTGGGCGTGGGCGTGGGGTGGGGAAGTGCGGTGTGGGAATGGGTATGAGTTTGCTCTTAACTCATCCACACTCACATCCACACCAACATTCACCCGCATCCAGACCGACTCACGCCGACACCCACACTCACAAACACCCTAACAGCCTTTCGTAAAGTTAGTATGAGATTTATGAAAAGTGGTCAAAAAATGATCATTTTGTGATTTCTATGATTATTTTCTATAGTTTAATGGGGCTTTAAGTTCTTTCCTTTGAGTCAGTTTAGAGATACCCTTTATAGTAGTTTTATCGATCTTGGAACTCGAGTAAGCACATGTTTTCATAGGGTTAGTATGAGATGTATGGAAAGTGATTAAAAAATGGTAATTTCATGATTTTTCTGATCGCTTTTTCAGTTTGAAGGTATACAATTCCTTTCCTCTGAGTTAGTTTAGAGACACTGCTTATATCAATTTTATGAATCTTCTATCTCTAAGAAGTATATCCCATATAAAAAGTTTTCGGAAAAAATCAGATTAAAATCGATTATTCATTGATTAAAAACGGTCTTTAAATGATAGGATTTTAAGCGGATTACATTCGGATTTTTCGGTGTAAAAGACAGATTTCTCTGATATTTCGGGTTTTTTGAAGTGGGTGCTAATCGGTTTTAATGGATTATTAACTTTTTATTGGTTAAAATCGATTTGAGAAAAGTCAAAAATCAGAGATATCCGTGTTTTAGGCGGAAAGATCGGATTTTAATCAGATTAAAATTGTACCATTTTAATGAATTTTTAATCAATGAATAATCAATTTTAATCTGATTTTTGGTAAAATTTTTTAAATGTAATTGGTTATATGGATCATATAATTTAT